GTTGATGATTCTGAAGACGATTTGTAGGTACGCTTTTCCTGATCTGCTTCCGGCGGTTTTCGAAGAATGTAAATTGTTTTCGGTGGCAAATCCGGTAACATAGATTTTTCGCTGTGGAACATGTGGGACGATGGTGATTTTCCTATACAGTAAAACTTATTAATAATTCTAATTTGCAAAATTAAAATAATAAAATTCAATTTCTTTAAATATACAAATCTCCAAAATTAACACGCATCATCCTAAATGTACCACAAGTTTGAACCTTTTTTTCTTCTGAACCGTTGATAAGGTCTAATTCTTCTCATGTCACGTTATAGGTCGATTTAATAAAATTACTTAAAATAAACAAAAGCCTATTGTAGAAATTTTACAGCAATATTTAATATATGTACTATATATTATAAAATATACATATTAATTATATATATATATATATATATATATATATATATATATATATACTTTATAATATATATAGGTAATATACTTTATAATATATAATAAATTTATTATATTTATTTAATATATAATAAATTTTCATCTAGAATTTTTTTTGATTGGTTGAATTTGATTGAATGATTTAAAATGTGGCACAGTTCTGACAGGGACAGGGATAAGCTCGCTTCAATGGGAAGCAGCGGCATCATTCAGTTCTTCACTCTATTTCCTTTAGAGGTTTTATAAGATGTTTTAAAAATCATTGACTGTGCAATTGATTTTTGACATTAGAAAATGTAAAGAAATCATGAGAGTCTTTCATTTTGCTTCATCTTTAAACAACTAATATGCAACTTCCAGGTTATATGCATAATTCCCACTAACAATGTTGTAAACCAACTTTGATATCCCTAAATTGAAGTGTTTAAGTGTTTTTTGCACCATGTGACACCAGCTTGTTTTACACCTTTTGTTAATTATTTATGGGTATGATGTACCTGTTTCTTTGGATTTTGACAGGTTATTCTCTAGTCCAAAGGATTTTTATTATTACTTTCATCAGTTTTTTCGCTACACAGTTAGACAATTCAATTAAATGACATTTTAATAAAAGGAAAATAATTTTGAAATTACTTTCTAACAAAATAGTAAATATTACTTCCATACAGGGATAAAAGCAGAGATTATTATTATAAAGTTCAAAATACTGAAACAGTTAAATCTTACCTGCTTGGGCAGTTAAAGACTGCTCTAAAATACTGCTTGGTTTGTCACGCACTTCCAGTGCTGCTTCTAATATTGAACCCTGCTCATTTTTATCTTCAACTACAACCTCAACATTTTCACTAACATCATATTCATTGATGCTACCCTCTTCAGTCTTAACGTTACCAACTTCAACAACCTGAAAATAAGAATATGCACATTCAATAATATACTCAATGTCAAACAAATTCATTTAAAATAATTATTTTTCTTTTCAATGCTTATTGAAAAGAAAGGACCAATTTATACAATAACAGATGAAGTTTACTCAACTATACAAATGTTGAAGAGAAATAGGGTAGGAAATCTTGAGCATAAACAAAGTATGAGTAGGTATATCTTAAGGGTACAATATACAAAAAGGAACAACTTGAATTAATGTCAAAGATAAATTTAAACCACTTAACTCTTTTGAAAGATATCCATAAGCCAAATAAATAAAAAACAGAAAGACAGTTAAGTTCAAACATTGAGTATCAACAATGCAACTTTTAGTCACAAATTCTTGCAATTGAGAGAAGATTATAGTTAAAGAAGCAAACAAAAGAGCAAATATGCTGACACTACTTTTCCTTTTTGCTTTATAAATGTATATTAACAATAAAAATAATTATCCTACTATCTGCAGTTTACAGCATTGAGAAGTTGTATGCTTAATTTGCATGAGGTTTTTCCTCTTACATTAATCTTCATAAAATTATTTTTACAATAAATATTCCATACAATAATAATCAAAATATTTAAATTTCTGTACATCTACATTTGGATATAAAATCTCATCACATAAAATAGAAAAACTGGGGAAAATATGTTACACTATGAGCTGATATTTATACAGTATCTTACAAACTTTTCTTAACAACCACTAGTGTAGAAGAAAGAAACCTACAATCTATGTATCATAAGAAAAAAAGTTTACCTCAAATTGAGAAGGTGAAGATGAATTCCTGCTATTGAGAATTTGGGTTGGTTCATCTAATCCAGAACTAGCTGCAATCACTTTTTTAGGTTTGGGGGGAGTCATTTTGGGCTTCTTCTGTGGAGATTCTTGACAATCAGATATGTTTTTGAGTTTTTTAGCAGGACATGGGTGTTTCTTTTGATGAGTTTCTTCATTATCTATAAGACCCAATACTTGCAGCACTACTGCTGTGTTTAAAAAAGAAGCAAATTGTTCCTCTGACACTGTAACCTCCCCATGATACATAAAATTGATTATTGCCATCAGATCTGCATGGGCTACATCTTTAAGGATTACTATTGGATGGGGGCAGGGATTTTCCTAGAATTATTAATGATATGTAAGTACAGACATATGTCTAATTTAAGGTTTCTTTGTAACTAACACGCAATAAAAATGTTGACAAGGAAAAAACAAGGACAGAAAGGACAATCTACTATTGAATATGCTTATTAAATTTGGAGACTATGCAAATTTTAAAGAAATATAATGTGTACAATCAGTTATGTATACCAAACATTTGCTAAATTGGTATACTTAATTGTTGAACAAGAAATTAATACAATTCTAGAAAAGATGAAGAAATTAATATGATTTAAAAACTCTAATATAACTATAATATACAGGCAACAACACTTATTACCCGTAATACACTAGGCACCTGGTAAAAATTGATAATTCTAGAAAAATGATGAAAGAAAGAACTTTTTCAATTTCAAATAGATAATATGATATGTGATTCACTTATTTAATGCAATTGTTGAACTATGATGGTTAATTCTATAGTTAAGATGTTACAATTTAGTTAGAAGTTAAATGGTTAAGCTTTTATTCTGAATAATTAGATAACATTTTATTTACAACTCTGGAGTAAATATCTGATACTGTCTTTGTACATAAAAACTCAAATTTTGTATATAAATATTATCCATTACATAAATGTCTATTTTGTCCGAAAATTGTCTCAAACTTTGTTTTATTCTGAAGATTTATGATTATAGGTCAGTGTATGCACTTACTCTAATTTTTATTAAAAAGAGAATGAAATAAAGTTCAATTTTAAAGGAATTTCTACTAATGCATACACAGCAAATCTCTCCACAGTTAATAGAATATTTTCTACTTGATATTAAAATTAAATAAAACTTTCTATATACAACAATTTTTACAGCACCAAAAATTTAATTCTATAAAATGAAATTGGGTTACTTTAAATATTGTCCGGAAATAAGGGCTACATGCTGACAGGATAAACTTGTGGGCTTTAATATTAATCCCTTCACAGGTTAAAGTAACATCTGCAAGATCTTCTGTATTCTGTAGACTTTCAAATGCACTCAAAATGTTGGATTCGAATTTGTTCCATTTTAAGCAGAAGTGTTTCGATGTCATGATAGGACGGAAAATAAAGTGATTTAAACATTAAATTAACAAAACAAATATATATGAATCCTATTAAAATAAAAATATTTAAATTAATAACTTAAAATAAACCACGTAGTAAAATAAAATAAAAACATATCGAATAAAAACAGAAACGTCAATGTCAATAAAAAAATGAAAGTTTGCCAAATGTTGTTGAGGTGATACCTGGCAGAGGTCGCCAAAGATGTAGACTGCAAAAGTTTGTGTACAAATTTGAATTTTGATATCTTGTGATGTACTTTGATTTAATTATTTTGATTAATCAGTTTTTATAGTTATGCGCAATAATTTATATTTGAAAATAAGTTCCTTCAATTATAGTTCGTCAGACTTTTGTAGTGGTATGAGTTTTCATGTGGTAACCTAATGAATTTTAAAACATTTTTATAAAAGAAGTGACTTGGTGATTGACAAAATATACTCATTCTGCAACATTCAAAGAAGATAAAGGATAAAATGACTACGACATGATAAAGAAATATAGTTAAAGCCATGTTAATAAGGCGAAAATTAGTTTCTTATACGTGATCATACGTAGATACGAGATTTACAAAAACAAGTACTATACCTACTATAATAGGTACTTACAGATATGTCTTTGACCTGAAGTTCCATTAATCCTTTTGAAGTAGCAATTTTGATTAATTGAAGCCTCTATATAAAATAAAAGTAAGAAATAAAGAGGGCAAAAGTAGGTACACTTTAGTAGGTACAAATGTAAACCACCATTATTCACACGGCACAAATTTTAATTGTACCTAATTTTCAAAAATAAACAAAATGTAACGAGTATTTGCCCGCAACCGGTCTCTCTTAAAATACAACCATAAAACAAATCTGCAATGGGGACTTTGAAAACTTACTATAATGAAGAATTATGATTTTTTATGAGACAGTATAATCAAGCACTAACTCATTTAGATATGTGCGCAGATAAATGATTACAGTGTAATAAGCTACACAAATTTACATTGTAGAAATTAAGGAGAATATTTAAAGAAGTTGAGTTTATAGTGGAGTAACATGAGATCAATAAAACAATTAAGGTCATATGAAGAAAGAAGTTACTCGCATTCTACTGATACATTTCCACTACTAGAAATTACAAATAAACGGGAACAGCTGGCAAAAATGTGGAAAATCATAGACAGATAGATACTAACTTCAATAACAAACACAGAAACCCTATAAATATCTTCTTCCTCTAATAACCTAAGTAATTCATGAGGTTCATTAAAAAAAGAGATCATAAAAAATACAAATATAGTAGTGTTGGTTGCATAATCTTAGTATTCGAAATAAGGTTACATGACATTCTTGAAAGGGCAGCTTGCAGCTTGTTTCTTGTTTGTCAGTTTGTGTTTTCATTTTCATAACCTTTATGATTTATATGAATGACATTACTGAATATGTGTAAATATTTTGAGATTAAAAAATGTTACTGATTTATCCATAGGTTGTGATTATCACGTGTGATCCCATTATTTAAAAAACTTTGGATTAAATTTATTTTATAGCTGTATGTATAATACAATTTCTACAATTTTTAAGAAAAAACAATTTATAGGACATTTTGCAACTAAACTACTGGATTTCTTGATAACTCCTTGACTACAATTCTCTTATCTTATTACATAAAATAAACCTTTGTACTCTGAAGTCTTTATAAAAACATGACGTTAACTCAAGAACGAAATCCAGGCTGTGAATTGGGTAATTTTTCAAAATTAGATTTTTAATGTTTTAATATTAATTTTCAGTACACACTTAATTTAAATATTCTGATACTGCACTAATACTGGCTGACCCCTATTGAATATTTACATCAGTATCTTAAATATTTTTGCTTCTTTTTATTTCAGATTTGGGTTGGGTAAACAGCATAAATGTAAACCTAAGAGCAACAAATGAATTAGCTAAGAACATAGTTGCATCCAGAGAACTAAAGGGTGAATACAGAGCAGCATGGATTCTAAAAGCAATAACTTTAATAGATCTTACTACCTTAGGAGGAGATGACACAAAGAGCAATGTTACTAGACTCTGTTTTAAGGTATTTGTGTTTACATGTATATAGTAGGTACTTGAAGTGTAGAGGGTACAACAATTATGTCTATTGCGCTCATATTTCCTTGCTACTTGATGAGTTCTCAGTTACTATAGTAGTTTTTTTATTCATATTGATTTTGTGAGACTAAGCAGATTGTCTTAAAGATTTTTCTTGTTTTACAAAATAGTCAGGTTCCATGAATAGGTCTTCTTGTCTTCTAATCTAACAACTTTTGGTTATACTTTCTACACAATTTTTAAAATAATTTTTTGAGAACAATTTCTGGAGTGGAAATACAAACCTCAAATAGTAATTAAAATTGTAATTCTTATTATAATCAAATGTGGCTTACTCTTAATTTCATATAAACATAATATTTAACTTTGATATGCCACAAGACAACAGTTTCAGAACCTTTTTTGACTCTAATTACATTTTTTTGTTGGCTCTATATGCTAGTTTACCTAATCTTTTAACAGACTTTAGCTGCACATACATCAACATAACTAAACATAATATTCTCAATTTATTTATTATTTTTAATGCTCTTTTTTGCACATACTAAATATACTTTATGTTAACCACATTTTTTGTTTTGAATGTACAGTGGAACTTTGATTATCCATCAGGGCACCGGACCAAGGGTATGACGGATAATAGAAAAGATGGTTAACAGAACATGAAAAAAAAAATTCATAGTATAACTCTCAAATTTTATTTGTATGTTTTATTTGACAATATAAGAGGCATTTATGTTAGTACAGATGAATCAATTTGATGTAAATTATTCCGAAATCTTTGTTTGTCTTATTGTTACTTCACATTTTGCAACAGCTGAATTTCTTAATTGACATGAAATCATCAAATCTAGCTTCTTTACCCAAATTTTTGTGAGTTGTAATAACATCATTAACACATCGCCACCATCAAAGTCTTTGTCAGCTTCTGAATCAGTTTGGTCCGCCTCTGTTGCCATTTCAATGAGATCATCATCTGTTAGCGATCGATAGCCGTTTGCGTCCAAATCACAAATTAACCATTCATTTATGTTATCTTTAACGAAAACAAAACAGTTGATTCGGCCATAACTTCATTTAAGGGGAGCATTTTCATCAAAGGTGGGTTGATTCAGGCCATAATTTATTCCACGCTCTTTTCAGCGTTACTTCCAAAACATCAGACCAAGCATTCACAGCATTGTCAACTGCATGTTTTAAATTGCATGATTTCCAGTATTCTGGCAAAGAATATTACTCTTCCGTAACTAGGTTTCCAATAAATTTTTTCTGTATCTTCTTTTGAATGTTTTATTGACCTAATTATCCATTGGTTGTATCAATGATGTTGTATTCGTAGGCAGAAATGAGTACGTGATATTTCTATCGTCATGGCATACCGGCTTTAGGATGGGCACCTGCATTGTCCAAAATGAGAATCGTCTTTGGTGGAAAATTTTTTGCAAACAAAATGAATTGATGACTAAATTTTTACTTATGTTGTCAATATAACTTATGTAGAATAGAATAGAATAGAAAAAAGCTTTATTCTCAGGATTCACAAGTTACATACAAATATAAATTGTCAATAGAGAGAATGGTGTCAGTTACAATTTATAATGGTTGCTGTAACAACCTACACTTAACATAAAAGTAATATTAAAACATAATGATAATAACAGTGACATTTAGATTCAGGTAAGAGCCCTTAATCTGCCTACAGGTCAGCTTGAAGGTATTCTTCCACTTTGTATGGTTCAAGGTGTATGAGCAATTGTTGAACAGATTTTCTATATTTATTTATGTCAGTTTCTATTTTGATGCTGTAAGGCAGTTTATTAAAGAATTTAATACAGGCATATTCTGTGGTTTTCTCAGATGCTGTTAGTCTATGTATTGGTATATTATAGTTTATGAGATTGTTTCGTGTATTAGTATTATGGTTTGTTATGTGTTTCAAGAATTTATGTCTATTTTTAAAAATGAAAAGTAAGCATTCATATATGTATGTTCCAGCCTTTGTTAGTATGTTTAGCTTTTTGAAATTACCTCTACATGAATCTCTGTATCTCAAGTTAAGTAGAGTTCTGATTGCTCTTTTTTGTAATATAAAAACCTGTTCAGCGTTACCACTTCCCCCCAGAAAACTATTCCAAATCGCGTTACAGAATGAAAATTTGAAAAATATACAACTCATTTACATTTTTCGTCCAAATAATTTGCTGTTATTCTGAAAGAGTAGCAGATAGATGCTAACCTGTTACAGATCTCATTTATATGCACTCCAAAATCTAAATTTTGGTCAATATGTACCCCCAGAAATTTTGTGCTTTGGTTTAGAGTAACCATTTGCGATTGAATTGAGACAGTTTCTGATAAGATACTATTATTTGTTTTAGTGACAAAATATATATAATTTGTTTTTTGTCTGTTCAGTATGAGTTTATTCATATTGAGCCATTTCTGTTCTTTATGTAATCTATTATTAGCGATATTCAGTAAATTATTCAAGGATGACCCTATAGTTAAAATGTTAGTATCATCAGCAAATTTCACAATAAGAGTATTCTGATTGTTATCTGTTATGTCTAAAGCTAAATCATTTACATAAAAAACAAAAAGAAGAGGACCCATAATACTTCCCTGAGGAATTCCCACCGAAATAAGACCTTCATCAGAGAAGCAATGTCTTCCCTCATACTCAAATTTTACTTTCTGTTTTCTGTTTGATAGGTATGATTTTATCCAATTATAACCTGGCCCTCTGTATAATATACCATATCTGTAAAGCTTTTCCATTAGTATTTTGTGATTTAAAGTATCAAATGCTTTCGATAAATCTAAAAATATGCCCATGGATATATCTTTGTTTTCATAACCCTCATTTATCTTTGTTATAAAATCATAAATGGCAGTCTCTATAGATTTTCCCTTAAGGTACCCATTTTGTGCATGGCATAACAGTCCCTCATCATCATATTTGGCTCGACAATCCTCTGTGGATCTTGGCCTGCTCTAAGATTCGTCTCCATTCTGTTCGGTTTTTGGCAACATGTTGCCATCTTCTGATTTTTAATATTCGTAAGTCGGTTCTACTCCATCTAACCACCTAATTCGCGGTCGGCCTTTGCTTCTTTTTCCTACAGGTGTTCCTGTGGTTAGCTTTTTAGCAATGGTATTTTCTGGCATTCGTATTATGTGTCCAGCCCATCTAAGTCGCTGTGTTTTAATGAACGTTATATAACAGTCCCTCACTATAGAAAAAACTGAGAAGCCTGACACACATTACTGTTTCAAAAACCTTAGAGAATGATGGTAAGAGGCTTAACGGACGATAATTTTCTAGTAAAGTGGTATCATCTTTTTTATGCACTGGTTTTACTACAGCTATTTTTAAGTTGTCTGGAAATATCCCATTTATGAAGGTATTGTTTATTATATGACATAATGGTATAGCTAGCTCATATGCACACAGTTTTATTATATTTGTAGGTATTCCATCATAACCTGAAGTGAATTTATTTTTCAATTTTCTAATTAATTCAATTATTTCATTTATAGTTACTGGCATTAGAAAAAATGAGTTTTTGTTAAACTGTATTTTGGTGCTAAATTCTATTTTTGGTATATTTTCTAAAAGATGTGTAGCAGCATTTAAAAAATATTCATTAAAATTATTACTTACCATGACCATACTTATGTATGGACCCTGACGGTTAACAGAGGTGACAGTTAATAGAGAGACGGATAATCTAGGTTCCACTGTATATGCATTAACAATTTGGTTTTCTGAATTAAGTAATATTGTAAAGTTTTAGGCAGCAAGACCAGTAGCTGAAGATATTCTGAATGAATTAGGATTTGAGTACAATGAGGAATCCCCCATTCATACTGCAGCAGTTTGTGTTTATCCATCAAGAGTTGCGGATGCTGTTAAAGCATTAGGTGATATGGGAATGCTCAGTAAGATTAATGTTGCTGCAGGTACCTATTTTTTAACAATTATTGGTAGTTTAAAATCAGTTTTTTAAAATTACTGATTTACTTAAATCTACCTTCTTTATTATTTTAGTTGCTACAGGGTTCCCAAGTGGCCAATATCCAATAAACACAAGATTGGACGAGATTAAATATGCAGTCAAAAATGGTGCAAAAGAAATAGATATTGTCATTGATCGAAGTTTGGTATTGACTGGGAAATGGCAAGAACTCTACCAAGAAATTCAAGTTATGAAAGAAGCTTGTGGACCCGATGCTCATCTAAAAGCTATTCTGGCAACAGGAGAGTTAGGAACTCTTGATAACGTGAGTAAAAAATATGTTTCAGCTATTTAGACAACTTTATATTGATCAAAATGTTTTTATGTAAGCAAAATTACAAATCAAATTACATATCATACCATTGGATATTGTATTCGTGGTTTGGAATTGTTTTTTTCTGATTCTTTATGTACAACTGTAGCAGGCAGTCTCAAAGGTGATGCAGGTGAAGATCACTTTGTGTTGATGATTGTGAGATCACTGGTTAACGGTCCTTCCATCAGAAGACATCCAGGTTTCCTTTTGTTCTATCTGGGTGCTGTTCACCACCATATTTTTTTCCATCGTATTACCAAACATGGCATTACCATTCTGTCACTTTCTGAGCATGAAGAGGTATTTCATGTAGCAAATGAGTTTTATCCCCTGCCCAGTACCTGAAATTTTGTTTAGTTACAAAACCAGAGAGGTGAGAATGTGCATCATCACTTATCGATAAGTTGTTAACTTGGTCATCATTTTCATCCATTTTGGCTAGCAGTAAGAACCTTCTACACAGTATTAGGAAACTTAAAAAAAGGAGAAATAAATCGGTTAAGTCGTTCTTAAGTTATGGTGTGACATAGAGAAATATAGAATTCATTTTTATGTAATACATATTGTTCTGAAGCTATTTTCTTGTCTCATTTTAATATCATTTATTTCCTTTTGCGGAAATTTTATGAATATCATTAATTACCTTTAATTTAAGTTTAAAATACATTTATTATGACATTTCCATTTTCCAATTCGGAAATAGTTTTAAACACATTATTTTGTTTTAAAAATGGCAAAAAAAAAACAAAATAATTTCTTTATTTGTATTCTGAGACTTATTTCCGAAGTGAAAATTTAAACTGAAATTTTGGTTGATTCTCATTAAAGGTACAAAAATAATATCATCATAATCATCACAGTACTACAGTTCTTAAAGGACCTCGACCTTTTCAGACCATAATAAATAATATAAAAACATTAACAAAGCAAAATTCCCTGTTTTAGATTTACAAGGCTTCTTTAGTAGCAATGATGGCTGGATCAGATTTTATAAAAACATCCACTGGAAAAGAAGCTGTAAATGCCACTTTACCTGTTGGTTTGATAATGGCAAGAGCTATCAAGGATTATTTTGATAGGATGGGCTATAAGGTATGTTTAAAATATTTTTTTATTATTACTTTGTTACATGTATTTATTATACTCTGTCAGTTAATACTAAATTATCATTCTCTTTTCTAATTACATCAATATTAATTCCCTTCACATAAATGTCCTGCCTAAGAGTCTCGTATCAGATTTTGTTTGGTCTCCCAACTCTAGACATGTCTAGTCCTATTGCTATTTCCAACATATCATTTTAAACATCATGTCTAGTTCGAAAGCTTAGTCCTCCAAATCCATTCTATCTTGAATTAATACATGTGCATTAAAATCATCTCCTAATATGACTGCCATCTGATGGAATATCTTTAAGTATGTCTCAGTTAAAACCTTTTTCGAAACATAGAAACCTTTTTTTTATTCTCATCCGTACCGAATTGAGGAGCAGATACATACAACATTCAACTGTGTTCCTTCATTCGTTATTACAACTTCTACTTCGTTTTCTCTTATTTCTTTAACAGAAATTGTACCAACTTCACTTGTACTGTTACTTTTCTTTATGTACAACAAATTTGTATCCTTCACCTAGTTCTTTCGCCATTTGTCCTTTCCACCTCACTTTTTGAATATTAGCAATTTGTAATTCCCTCTTTAAAGCACATCTAACAACCTGTAAGATTCCAAAACCATATCCTGGTTTTTATAACTCCCTTCTAAAGGCAGCTCTAGCCTGCTCTATCCTGGATCTAATTTCGCCGTGATTTTATGCGTTACAATTTAATTGCTGTCCAAGGTAGACAATTTTATCAACTTGCTCAAGTTTGGTATTATTTACATATCATCATCCAGCCGAATGTTCACATCCATTGTTGGATATAGGCCTCCTCCAAACGTCTCCAGTTCTCTCTATCTCTAGCTGCTGCAATCCAGTTTGTTTCTATTCTCTTTAGGTCGTCGGTCCATCGGGTGGGTGGTCTGCCTCGACTTCGCTTGTCGGCTCTTGGTCTCCACTCCAATAATCTCTTCGTCCATCTTCCGTCTTCCATTCTAGCAACATGTCCAGCCCACCTCCACTTTTGTTTATTGATTCGCAGTATAATATCGTCTACGCCAGTTCGTCGGCGTATCTCCTCATTTCTTACGCGATCTTTCAAGGTCAGGCCCAGCATTGATCTCTCCATTCGCCTTAGTGTTACCCTCAGTTTTTCGGCAGTAGCTTTCGTTAAAGTTAAGGTCTCTGCTCCGTAGGTCAAGACTGGTAAGATGCATTGGTTAAATGCCTTCCTTTTCAGGTGAATTGGGATATTTGTTTTAAAAATGTCTCTCATCCGTCCATATGCAGCCCATCCCAATGTGATTCGTCTATTTAGCTCGCAGGTTTGGTTGTCTCTGGTTATTCTAATTTCATGACCCAAGTATGTGTATTTATCGATTAATTCTACCTTGTTGTTATTGATCTGTATCTCTTCGCTGGGAACCATATTGGTCATCATTTTGGTTTTCTCAAAATTTATCTCCAGCCCAGTTTCTTGTAGTATGTCATTCAGTTCTTGGAGCATGTCTTTGATCTCTCCCAGATTATCTGACAGAAGCACGATATCGTCCGCAAAAGGTAGATGGTTTAATCTTTCTCCATCGATGGATATTCCTTTCTGTTGCCATGTTAGTCTTTTAAATGCATACTCAAGAACGGTAATGAACAGCTTTGGTGACATGGTATCACCTTGCCTGACTCCCCTTTTTATCTTTATTTTATTAGTTGCAGAATATAGACTTATGGTTGTTGTGGCATTTTCATATATATTTTTAATTATATTACAATATCTGTGGTCGATCCTGCAATCTTGTAGTGCTCTTAAGATGGACGGTAGTTCCACTGTATCAAACGCCTTTTTAAAGTCTACAAATATCAATGCCAAGGGACGGTTATATTCGTTAGTTTTTTCTATTAGGGTTTTTAGGCACTGCAGGTGATCGTTTGTGCCATAATTAGGGCGGAAACCAGCTTGTTCCCGAGGTTGGTAAAAATCCAGCTTTGTCTCTAATCTATTCGTTATTATTCGGGTGTATAATTTATAAAGATGGTTAAGGAGACTGATTGGTCTGTATCTTTCCAGGTCTGCTATATCTCCCTTCTTGTGTAAGAGTACAGTTATAGAATTATTCCACTTTGTTGGGATATTTTGATTCCATAGGCATAGATTAAAGAGCTTTTGAATTTTGGCTATCAGTACTGAGCCTCCTAACTTTATCGCTTCCGTGACGACACCGTCCTCCCCCGGAGCTTTGTTATTCTTCATCTTTTTTAGAGCCTTGTAAATTTCGTCCAAGGAGATTTCTGGAATATCTTCGGAACCCTGATTTTGGACCTTCCTCTGTTGATATTCGACTATATCTAGAGTCGATTGGTTGCTATATAATGTCTCATAGAATGATTCCACAATTTGTAACAAATGTTCTCTGTTTGATGTGATGTTGCCATTTCTATCCTTGAGTTTGACTATTTGTTTATTTCCATTTGTGAGTTTGCGTCTCATTATTTTCATACTCTTATTTTCCTCAATGGTTTTGATGATTTTCTTATCTTTGTATTTTCTTAAGTCTTTTCTGATTTCTCTTGATACTTCCTTGTTCATTCTATTTATATCGTCGTTACTACAGATTTCGTCGCTTCCCAGTATTCTTCTTTGTTCCATTTTTTTCTGTGTTTCCAGACTAATTTTTTCTTCCTTCACGCTTTTTGGGCAGCATTTCTTTTGAGCTTCTGTTATTGCTTCTACTATTATGTCATTTAGAATGTTAATATCATTTGTTGATGATTTTTCTTGAAGGAATTTACCGATATGATCTTCAAAATTTTGTTCGTTGTTTGGATGTGTCCATCTGTTTATTTGCTTCTTTTTTATCATATTGTGTCGTTCATAGTTGGTATTTAACACAATGGTGGCTCTTACCATACGATGGTCGCTTGATTTCGCAAATTTATTATTTATAATAATAAATTATTTACATATAATAAAATAAATAAATTATTTACATATATAGACGGTTTTATATGCTGTTGTTTACATTTTTTAGGAGTATTTGGGTTTTACTTATGTTAAGATCCAGACCTGCCTACCTACAACTCTCAACGACACTATCAAGTAGTGTTTGCAGATCTTCTTGACTAGAAGCTAGGAGTACTGTATCGTCCGCATATCGCAAATTATTGATGACTTCGCCGTTCACAAGTATTCCTTCTTGTTTTTCAGAAAGTGCTTTTCTGAAAATTCTTTAAAACTGATTTTGTTTGATTTCAATATAAATTTGCAATTATTCGAACATCTCTGCCGTCCAAGCCAATGTCTTTTAGAGCTTCGATCAATATAGAGTGCTTACATGATCAAATGCCCTTTGGAAGTTAATAAAACAACAGTATATGTCTACAGATATATCACATCTTTGAGCAAGTACGTTCATTCCAAACAGTGCCTCTCTTGTTCCAAACCCGTTACGGAAACCAAACTGAGAGTCATCCAGGTATTCCTCACATTTATTGTAGATACGACCATGTATTACCTTCAGCAAAATTTTCAATAAGTGGTTTAACAAACTGATGGTTCTATAATCAGCACAGGTTTTTGCTGTTGTCTTCTTAGGTAGAGCTATAAACAGTGAGTATGTCCGCTGGTATAAATGGTATTGAAAAACGAAGTTATAGCCTCTAAAACATTGCTATTATTTATAAGCTTATATATTTCAGTTGGAATTTCATCAGGACCAGTCGCTCTGCCCTCTTTTGATGATTGTATGGCCTTTATAACCTCACAGCGTGTTATTAGGGGTCCGTCGCAGTTAGTAATATCGGGAGGTGAATTGCTCCTATCGTCTTCGAATAGGTTCGTGACGTAATTTTCCCATTTTTAAGTTTGTCCTCTACTTCGAATATTACTTTACCATTTTCATCCTGTAGCAATGCAGTTTGTTTCTTATAGAAGATACCAGCCGCTTCTTTTACTTTTTTATACATGTTAAACGTGTCGTATCTTTTTTCTAGTTCTTCAATGTCATGACACTGTTTGGCTACTTTGCCAAACTTTGTTGGATCTCTATATTCCTCTAAAAACCAGTGATGAAATAGAGAACACGGTGGAAGAAGTTGTCTCAACTAGCACACCTCAAGAACTGCTTTTGATATTAAACAAGAAATAGCCGAGAAACGGAAAATAGAGAAAATCTGGCAAACATACTTTGATTCATTTTACACATTGTTTCCAATTCATTATGCAACCAATAATACAGTGCAATACCACTTCCCTGCTTCATTAATCTTGTAACTTTTATATTAGATATGTGCAATACAATATATTACGTGAAAAAAGTGAAAAGACAGCAAATATTTGATTTCACGCAAAAAGCGCCTTTGTATCTGTTGATACGTATTTCGACCTAATAGGTCTCATCAGAACAGTTATTCAAAGGTGTTCTCAACGTGAAAGATCAATATTTTTTGTCTTTTAAGAAGCAACACTAAAATGGCTTCAATACGGACGCAATAGCGACATCTGACAATAAAACCGTAAAATAAATTCGAAACACAATTCAGAATTCTGCTTAAATCCGTGCTTTCTAAAAATTGCAAAGCAAAATAGACGTTGATAAAGGTGTTAAAAGATAATATATTACATTTATTTAATCCAGAAGTTACATTTATATACTCACTATTTTCAGGTTGGTTTGAAACCCGCTGGTGGTGTTCGAACTGCCTCCGATGCAATAAATTGGTTAGTTCTTATAAAAGAAACCTTAGGAAATGACTGGCTGAACAGCGAATTATTCCGTTTTGGCGCATCTGGTTTATTGGGAGATTTGGAATGTAGCTTATATCAGTACGTAACTGGAAAGACTCCTGCCGGTTACGAGTTTATGATGGGATAGTTTAAAGTGTACATAAAATTATATTTGTCTAAAATTTGTTCTTTATACAATAATGCTGTAAATAGTTTTACTTCCATTGAATTAAAATAAAAATTCAAAACAAATCGATGGTTTATTATTGTGGCTGCCGAGGATTAGTCCGAGTGAAATTTTTACTTTTGTTCCTGAGTCTATTTGAGGACCCTAGAAGTTATAACTTCTAGGGTCCTCAAATATCCTTCTAATGTCCTCTCCTATTCAAACCAATATGAGACGTCCACCAGTGTTTTTCAAAGAAATTAAAGCGGATTTGGTCGATTATTGCCTAAAATTATAAAATTATACAAATGGATAGAAGATTTTACGGACTGCGATCTTCTGATATTCGAAGATTAGCCTTTCAATTAGCTATTCGAAACAATTTAAAACATCCGTTTTCAACTAATCAGAAAAAAGACAGTTGGACCAACTAACATGGGAAGGGTCTCATATATCTATCCGAAACACAGCTGTTAATGTGCATATTTATTTTGTTATCTTTGATATTTTTTATAGCAAACAAAGTAAATTAATTATTTAAAAAACGTTATTAGGAGAACACATGAAATTATTATAGAAAGTTTAGATACATTTTCCTGCTCTCGTATAGATTGGTTATCACCTGTAGGTAATAACTTGATTTCTTTCTATTTCCCTTTTTCGCAGGAAAATGTCCTAAAGTAACTACTACACAACTATGTATTGATTAAGGGCATTAATTAAGCGGATATAAAAAAACACTTAAGTTTATAAAAATAACAGAATATATCTAATGAACTCGTTCTAATTATATAAGAAAGATAGGCAACACAATTTACAGCACGGATAATAGGCTCGTCAGAATGAGTTATTCAGTCCGTATCACAACAATCGATAAGCTAGGATTGCTAAAATTAGATTCCTACTTTTTCAGCACAGGATACAGATTACTTCTAATTTCGTTTCAGTCGGCGCGAACCTATAGGGAATTAACTAATAATATTTAATTCCAAAGTATCCTAAAGTTTGTAATCGTTTTCAGCCACTAGGGATCGTCAAAATAATGGATCCATTTGGAAAATCGTTGTTGGCAGACAGGGTAACGTTTTATTAAAAAACAGTCATTAGAATGAAGGTATCGTCTAGATATGCTAAAATGTAATTAGAGATAAGAAAAGCGAGACTAGGCTACATCGGAAATTATGCTTAGCGAACGTTTTCAGTTATTTAGTGTGACAATTAAGTAAATTTGGTAAGGGGCGTTTGAAATTTTAGCAATTATGAAATTATTTTATGATTGAAACTACTATGAAAAGTACCATTTCATATTAACAGATCATTATCTTAGGTCAGTTAAGTAGGGATCCTATTAAACAACCATGATAAAATTATACCAAATACCAGAGAAAACTCAAAGAATGGTGCCGTTATACCTAAAATTTATTTAATGATAATCGGCGGTATATTTAGAAGAATTTTCAAATCAAAATATAACGTAATTGTCCCTATATTTGACACATTAAAAAAATAAAAAGAACATAGAAACATAAAAAGCATGATGTTTTGGGAATAACAATTTGACAAAGCTCCATAAGGTTTTTATGTTTTTTTAGAGGAGATAGCCATGCTAGATGTATACATTGTTTGCAGATCAAATTTTACTTTTGTTCCATACGTAAAGTGTCCTAATATAGAATACTTTTTTAAACCCTAATATTAGTTTTAATACGTTAATTAATTTATCAATATTTTATAGCAAAACAATTAGTAGACTATAGAGAATTATTGATTGAACGAAAATAAATCATTTCTACGAAGTAAACACTAAAATTTAAATTTTTATAAAAAACGGTAAATTTAACTGACAAAATAAAATGTTCCTAATACCGGATATTACGATAACGGGATAAAATTAGCCATCGACGCATTTGCTCAAGAATGGCAGTTTACATTGCATCACCAACAAACTGTATTGGCTAGTAAAGGTGCTAAAAGGATGCATATCGTTGCACCAGAGTACGGCGAAAATATAACAATCGTGGCATGTGGCAACGGTATAGGCAACAGCATTTCACCACTAATCATTCTGAAAGGGCAACGAGTTAAACCAGAATGGTAGAAAGCTTCTTGTCATTTAGACATTAGAATTATAGAAGCTGCAATAAAAACAGGCCTAACTCTGTTTTGTCTACCGTTCAACACCACCTATGAGCTTCACTGGGATGATTAGGTGTTAAATTTTTGGGTAAACCATAATAACGAACGTACTATCAGCCGAGCAAGATTTGGGCAAATATTTACTCCGGTTTGGAAAAACGCAATGACGCAAAAAATATTTATTCTGGATTTGAAGCATCTTGAATATGGCCCTTCAATCCAAATGTTATTCTGGATGCTGCCTCTGCGACTAGTTGTCTGACACAACGAGAGATTGAAACAATCGCCGAAGATTTTCAAGAAAATCCTACAACCGAACCAGAAATAGGAACTAATGGCAAAAAGAATACACATTTCGAAAAACAGCTATCCTGCAGCGCTGTAAACAAAAATAATAAAAGCAAACCATTCTCGAGTAGTGAGAAAAGGAAAATTATAAAAAAAATACTGACCAAAGTTTTTCAAACTTACGTCAAATAAATGTGATAAAAATAAGGTTGCAAAAATAAGTGGGACAGAGCGATGTGAAGAACTAAATTTAAGTTTTAGTTCGATTTTTTTGCTGATTACACCAGAATTAAAAGTGTCAAAAACGCCGACAGGCCGTTAATGCGAAAGCTCAAGAAGTTACCAGATATTTATTTAGTGCACAATCTCATAACTCAGCAAAACTAAAACAAAATTTAAAAAAAGATACATGGTATGGATATAGTGTATAATATGCGCAAGTGTGTTTGTTGTAATAAGTATATAGTATATCCACGAGGAATGTATTGGCGACGTGCAAGTACTTGGAGGGGATACGAGAAACGATCGTACGCGAGTAGTGGAGAAATCTTGCATTTTTTAATGAACATTTCATAGATTATAGATTTCATAAATTCATATTGTCAATTGTCATATTTCATATTCGTTTTGTTTATTTACACCAAAGAATATAGACGCTTAGCCTCCCTCTTAGCTCCCTCCTCTAATCTATGCGCTTAGCGTCTATATTCTTTGTTTACACCTTCTGTCACTGAAGAAAATGGGATTTAGGAAATGCTGTGTTATAAATTGTAAAAATACAACAAAAAATTGTCAATTTAAGTCTTATTCGTTTCCAACTTCGAAGCACAAAGCTAGTACAAAGAGAAAAGTGGATTTATATCATAAAAAAGCATAAGTAACATAACCTAAATTATACATTATTCTTGCGCCCGATTTTAAAGTCAGTTTGAAATAAATAATAAATAAAAGTTCACTTTTAAGTGTAAATTTTAGTTTCATAACACTCACTTAGAGTTCCTTTTAACCCAAAAATCAAGTTTAATGTTTGAATTTTATTTTTTTGAAGTTTACAAAAATGCATCAAGTTCAAGTTTTTCTGAAGATGCATTAAGATATATTCGCTGTCCAAAAGTTTACAGGGAAATAATTAATTGTTCAAACCAATATGATGATATCATGGGCTTAACCTGCTAATTTATGCATTAGCATTATTTATGGTAATTTATTTTTCTTAATTTTTCCACTCCACATAATTCTTCCATTCTTTTTTGACATTTGCCACTACTAAAGCTTTTCCCTTTGACTCGTGCTTGGTTGAAAAGGTATTTGGTGATTTACTTTCTCAAATCCAGTTTTTATTATTGCATCCATATTAACAGTAATGCTGTAATTAAATAATATATTTATTTGTATTTACGCTACATCACATCAACGTTTACCTTTTAATAACATACCGACATAACCTCAATCTTACTTTTTCTTCTTATTCTTTTTTGGGGCCACGTCCTTGACAGTTATCCGGTAACCTCGATCTAACATGAAAGCGCAGAAAATTTGGCTGATTTACGACACCAGGTGTCGCTGTTCCGAACTTGCACGGTCCCAATAGGATTAACAAAAGACGACAAGGAAATATTTGTATGCCCTCGATGTGTAAATGTGCTATATATGTACCTACTTAATGTATTGACAAATTTTTGTTTTTAATATGAATAAAAGTTTGTTTCACTAAACTTTGTATTTATTCTTTAATTCTTAGGTTTAAAATGTATTATTTACGTAAATTTCTTTAAAATATAAAACTGGCTTTTTTCAGTTCTTCTTCTTCTTCGCGTGCCATATCAGAATTATCCGACGGTGGCGATAATCATTGCGAAGGCTTCTTGATCTTCTGCGATATGGAATAATTGTCCTACATTTGGTATCTGAGTCAATTTACGAATATTTTTTAACCAAGAAACTTGTTTTCTTCCTACACCTCTTTGGCCATCTATTTTGCCTTTAAAGATCAGTTGTAATATTTTATATCGACTTTCCCTTACTGTATGCCTCAGATAAGACGTTTATTGATGTTTAATAGTCTTTAGCAGTTTTCTCTCTCTGTTGACGCTCCTTAGAACTTCTTCATTAGTTTTCCTTGCTGTCCATGGTATATTCAGCATTCGCCTATGAACCCACATTTCCAATGCTTCAATTTTGTTCATGATCGATATTTTTAGCGTCCACACTTCTGCACTATACAAAAGTTCGGACCAAACATAGCACTTAACCATTCTTTGCCTTAGTTCTAAACTGAGATGGTTATTGCAAAGAAATGACTTCATTTTCATAAAAGTAGTTTTAGTCATTGCTATTCTACGTTTTATTCCTATGTCCGGATGTAGTTGATCCATTATCACAGTTCCCAAATATGTCATTTTGTGAACTTTCTCAACTTGGACCCCGTTTAATTGAAGCTTTTTATCGGGATGTGGGCCACTACTAAACACTAAAAATTTGGTTTTGTTTGAGTTTATTTTAATTCCCATTTTCCCTCCTACCTCGTGAATACTTCTTCTTCTTCACGTGCCATCTCCGCGACGGAGGTTGGCAATCATCATGGCTATTCTGATCTTAGATACTGCTGCTCTGAATAGTTCAATTGATGTGCATCCGTACC